GTCCAGTTCAGTATGGTCAGTAGCCTTCCCAATTTTTGAAAGAATGTTCACCTTCAGTGTAGACCAAATATAAATGGATCATCTGTGTTCAGCTGGAAGTTATTATCATAGATTTAACCTATATTCTAACTTGAGTTTTGTTCAGCCATTAATATTGCCCAAATTCCAAGTCACATTCTAATATATTTTGAGAGGTGTGGTGCTGGGGAAGGAACCCAGGCACTTGAACATGCTATACACACACTCTGCCACTGAGCTACATGCCCAGCTCCACATTCTATTTTTACAAAATAAATTAAAAAAATCAACCAATATTTGTAAATAGTATTATGGATTCTTTCAGATACTATTTACATGCATAAAAACTCATGAGTTTTTGCATTGCGAAAATAATGAGAAAAAATAAAACCATTCATTTGTTTAAACCATCTATTATGCTAGTTTTTATGCACAGAGAAAATTGAAGTTCTTTGACTTTAAAAAGAAAGCTAAATTGATCATTAGTTTTGTAGACCAGAGGCAAGTATGTGTGAGTTGTATTATCGGAGATCTGGCAGGCTATCAGATGAATCTAATTGGATATGTATTGTCAAGATCAAAGCTGTCATTAATTTTTCTTTGTCTTCTTTTTGAACTTTTGGGATCAGTTCTATTTCTAGAACTCTTCTGTTGACTACTGGAGATACCTCATGTTTCATTTAGACCTATCTGGGTTACTGTTCTGCCATACCAAGTTGCAATCTCTGGCTAACTCTTAACTCCTTATTTCATTTACTACTCATACTAGGATACTGTTGCTTTATCTTTTCCCTATTCTTTTTCTTCATCATTTTTTCTTTTTTGGGTGGGACTGGGGTTTGAACTCAGGGCTTTGCACTTATAAAGCAAGCATTCTACTGCTTGAGCCACACCCCCCAGTCCATTTTGTTCTGTATTTTGGAGATGGGATCTTAGGAATTATTTGCCCAGGCTGACCTTGAACCATGATCCTTCCTATCTCAGCCTCCCAAGTAGCTAGGATTACAGGCATGAGCCACTGGTGCCCAGCGTCTTAATCATTTTTAGTAGAGTAAATTTCACACATTTTTGTCTTTGAAATGTTGGAGAAGAGTACTTGAAGTACTTATTTAGCATATATCTTACTATCAATCCTTTTTATGACTATTGCTGAATTACTGTGAAATCTATTGCCCTTTTCCCAGGTCTTCACCTAGAGTTGTTTCTTCTGTTTACATTATGGTCTGAATACATGCAGTCTTTAAAACAATTTAAAAAATAGGAACTCCTTGAAAAACTCCATTGTTATTTACTTATGCTTGACGCTTCCCATCATTTGACCCACTTTTTTCTCTCTGTATTCAATTTTGTCAGACTACAGTTACTTCGCAAAGGAAGGGATGGAGGACAGATGACACTAATATATGTCTACTACTCTATTCCTACGCTGTTTTAAAGAGAAATTTGTTCGTATATTTCTAGTCATACCTGGCTAGTAGGACCTGGTTTGAAGTCTGATGAGAGGAAAACTGTTGCATTTGTCTTTGAGAACAGGAAACAGCACCTCTGATAGAAGACATCCTCATCAAAGGTTTTTACTCTAAGAACTCATGGAAATTTTTTTCTTTTCTTGTCTCACATAGGGAGCAACAGAGGGCCTGGCTCAGCTAAGTGGTTTCAAAAGGCTGGGCCCTGGTGGCTCACGCCTGTAATCCTAACTACTTAGGAGGCTGAGATCGGGAAGATTGTGGTTGGAAGAATTCCCAGGCACATAGTTCTGGAGACACCATCTCCAAAATAAACAGGGCAAAATGGACTGAAGGTGTGGCTCAAGCGCAGCTTGCCTGCTTTGAAAGGGGGAAGCCCTGAGTTCAAACCAGTGTCTGCTTCCCTTGCCCCCTAAAAAGCAAAGTGAAACATTCTTCATGATTACCAAAAAGTGTTACAGAAATAATTCTCATTCTAGTTTCTGGAGAAACCAAAACTTAAAAAGGTAACTTAAAAGAGCTGGCGTATCAGTCAGGGGAAAATATGTAGACTTTAAGCGTGAATGGAAGCATTAATTGAAGGGGATATTTGTAAAGATTTGGGCAGGGTGAAGGAACTCTAGAGGAAACTGTGGAATCATGTTCACTGGATCTGCAAAAAATGCAATGCCATCCAACCGGTCTTTACTACCAGCACAATAAAGGGCATGTATGAATTCTGGAATCAATGATAAGGGATCCAGTACCAGCATTACCACTTTCTGTGGGTGTGGACTTTCTATAATTTAAAAACCCATCTGCATTTAAATGAAAGATAATAAAGGGCTGGGATGTAATTCAGTGGTAGAGCACTTGCCCAGCATGTGCAAGGCCTTGGATTTGATCCTCAGCACTACAAGGAAAAAAAAAAGGGAATAAAGATAATAATATCTAAAAGGATAATAATATCTAAAAGGTAGATGAGAAAATGTAACTCGAATAGTACCACCTGACACATAGTGCAAAACCACTTAATAAATTACTATTCCTTATTTCATTCCTAATAGAGATACTATGTTAACCACAGAAGCTGTTATCATTTACAATTAAGTTGTGCTGTGAGTAATAACCCCTCCCCCCAGAAAAAAAAGGGGAGCTGATATGAAAGTTTCTCTTTCATATAAAAATCCAGATCTAGATGGAGAGATTTGAAATGGCAGTTCTGTTCTAAGAAGCCCATATACATCTTCCAGCCCTGTATTCTGCCATCCTAACTGAGTGGTTGTTATCGTCTTGGTTCAAGGTGGTGGTTGTTGCATCCTTGTTACATATTGCAAAATGAAGGAAGTGAGAACTGGCAAGAGGAGAGCTGCAGCAGTCTCTTAAGGAAGGTTCTTGATTGGCCAGTTATTAGTTGTATGGCCACACTAAGTTGCAAGGGAGTCTGGGAGATGTAGTCTTTATTCTATATATAAGGAAGAAAGAGACTGTATACATACACATACGTGAACTTATATATATAATTCTTTTATGTAAAATGTAGAGAAATGCAAAATTTGTGGATACTTCATTTAGACCTAATATCTTACTCAATGGATATATTTTATTATGGTCTTGGGCTAGTTCGTTAAAAAGTTATAGTAAAAACGGAATAATAACCATAATAACTACAGAGTGTCTTTCTGTTGGATACTCTAGAGTTATAAGCAGCTGCCAGTAAGTAAATTCATATGAAAACACGATAGTGGCTTTTCTTGAGTAGTAAGAGTTAGGTTCAAATTTATAATGTGCCATTTTCTTGTTCTCTATAGAGCAGAAAAAGTAGAAAACGAGATGATCTTTCACTGGTTAGATTCTGTAATTCATCCTTTAGAACTGGTTTATTTATGGTTTCCCTAAAAGCGCACATATTTTCCCCAACATCCAACACCTTCCAATTTTTTTTAAAATCTGACTGGCCCAAACCCCTCATCACCTAGTTTCCCCTTACCAGATCTGCTCTTACTGTCCCAGGCGTCAGACCCTTGCCTCCTCTGAATTAAAATGTTAGTTTCGGCTTGGGAAATAACCAAATAAATGAAATGACTAATAGTAAATAGCTCAATAGGTGATCTCTCTGAAGTGTTTGTATTAAAAAAAAACACTTAGAAAGCATTCATATTCAGCTCTATGTATAGAATTTTAAGCACAATGACAGGTCTGATCATGATTTTATTTTGGGTGGGAATACGGTTGTTTTTAATGGACCTTAACACAAATCTATTTAATGTACTCTGTCTTGTTAGAACTAACACGAAGATTTTTGTAAGAATAGTAGGTATAGTAACTTTTAGAAATGTTTTAAAAGCTATTTGTTACAATTTCCTTTTCATAAAGTGTTTCGATCAGTCCAATGATAGCTTATTAATTCCTAGATGTGTTTTTATTGAAGATGGTAGTGCATTTCGTTACTGACTTAAATTAATAAATATAATATAAAAGATTAACACAGAGAAAGAATAGCAAAGTGGCCTCAGTCCTCTTGGCTGGAATTTCTCACCCTCATCAATTATACTAAGTCCTGGATTTGTTCACTTCTGCAACTACAGCTAATGTATTTGATCAGCGAGGGTAGACTTGGAGTCTGGAAGAAATCCATTAGGGTCAAAAATGAGATGGATAAGTAGAAAGCTTCCAAGGAGTAGGCTTTAGGATGGAGGCTGGAAAACAAAAACGGGGGAGTCCCTTCACTGATTGAGGAAACATTTATATTTTTGCCTGCCACATGCGGGAGCCCATCAGTGTCGCCTCCGGATGGGTGCTCCTGTTGACAAATTCCAGATTGTGATTATCTCAGGAACTCCAGTTGTCTCCTCTTCCGACCACCTCTTTCCTCACACCGGCTTGGGGTTGGGGTGAGGCCGGGGAGGGAGGCGACGTCAGCCGTGCTCTGCGGGGAGCGTCCGTTCGTCTGTCTGCCAGTCGAGCAGTGGGAGGGAAACTCGCTGGGAGCCCCCAGCCCACTGTCGGGAGCTCCTCCCCTAGGGGTCTTTAGGGCGGTGTGGGAAGGAAACTTTCGAGAAGTTGGAGAAGTGTGGGACGAGCAGAGAACGCGACCCCACTCGCGTCCCGGGCCCAGGCCAGGCGCCGGGTCCCTGCAGGTCTGGGCAGTGGTGAGGCCGCGCGGGCTGACGAGGGCCGCAGGCCGCAGTTCCGCGTCCGGCCTCGCGGGGGCGCCGGCGCGGCCGATCAGGTGACCGAGCGCTCGTCCGGAGCTGCGGGAAGCGGCCTCGTTCTCAGCCGCCGGAGAGCCGCCGCCGCCGCCGCCGCCGCCGCCGCCACACCTAGTGGAGGAGCCGGGGAAGGCGGCTCGGTGGGGGCTGGGGCGGAGAGCGCCAGGGGTGGAGACGGAAGAGCGGCAGGCGGAAGGCAGGAGGCTGAGGGGCGCCCGCTGCTCCGGGGGGAAGGGGCCCCGAGGCGTCCGCCGCGGCTCGCTCCGTCACCCGCGCGGGATTGGGGCGCGAGGGCCATGGGCGCTCTGCCCTGAGGCGGAGGGCGCGGGCGGGAGGGGAGGAGAGGCCCGAGGGCGCTTGCTTTGGAGGCCGCGGGCCGGTGACTGACTGCGCGCGAGGCGGCCGGCGGTGGCGGTGGCACCATGTCGCGCTCCGTGCTGCAACCCAGTCAGCAGAAGCTGGCGGAGAAGCTGACCATCCTCAACGACCGGGGCGTCGGCATGCTCACCCGCCTCTACAACATCAAGAAGGTGCGCACCGGCCGGCGAGGCCGCGGCGGGGGCGGGGGCGGGCGGGGGCGGCGGCGCCGGGGGAGACCTGGCCTCTTCGCGCCGGCCGGCCGGGCCCGGGTCGCCGGGACGCGCCGCGGCCTAATGCGGCGGGTAGCGGAGAGAAGCCATTTCCCGGCTCCCGAGGCCGGGTGGGCGCGGGCCGGCTGGGCGTGAGGGACGCCCTCGTATCCCCGGGACGGGGTGCACGGGCAGGCGGTTGGGTGCAAGCGTGGGAACGAGGAGAAGAAACGGCCGTGGGTGAACCCCGAGTCCTCCGCTCGGCCCCCCGAAGCGCTCCCTAGCTGAGTAAGAAGCCCTGGATGGAGAGCGGTTGACGTTTGGGGTTTTTGCATTATGAAGGTGGAGAGCAGGGCAAGTGAGGGTGGAACCGATTTTCTTCCAAAATACTTCCAGGCTGTGAGTCACTGGAACAGGAATAACAGCCTTCTGTCTTCCCTCCTTCCTCCTCCTCATTTTAGTTCTTCCAGTCCTATCTGATAGTACCAAACGCCATGTCTTAAAGAATGAAATACATTGCTATGACTGCTGATTTACAGCATGGTCCGGTAACCCGAGTACAGCCAACAGGCCCATGCCTTCAAATCAAGGGCTGGAGTTAAGAAAAGTAGATGTAAACATTACAAAATTACACTAAATTGGGGAAAAGCAGTGAAAATCCCTTTTAAGGCAAGTTTGATAAGTTTTAATGAATTTGATAAAGTAGGTTTTTTTTTTTTTTGGTACAATCTACAGCATTGCGAGTTTCCAATGGGTATTTGATATCGTAATTATTTTTCTTGGCTTCTTAGTAAGTCACGAATGTTTTTAATCACAGCAGTAATTGTGGGTTGTGAGTTAGGGCTGCCGAAGAAAGTTTTTTTTTTTAAATTAATACTAAGGTATTCTAGTAGGAAATTGATTTGTGTCTACAATTTGATTTGGACACTGTAATTGTAAAGACGTTAATAATGGCCGGGTGCCGGTGGCTCACGCCTGTGGTCCTAGCTACTCAGGAGGCAGAAATCAGAAGGATCGCGGATCAAAGCCAGCCCAGGAAAATAAGAGAGACCTTATCTTGAAAAACTCTTCACAAAAATAGGGCTGGTGGAGTGGCTCAAGGTGAAGGCCCTGAGTTCAAGCCCCAGTACCGCAAAAAAAAAAAAGTTCATGATAAATTTTGGAAAAGAATGGCTGTGGTCCTCTAGTTGCTCAGCTGATTGCAAGGATTGATTGACTCCAGACCTAGTGCATTCTGGAGAATAACTGCAACATGCCGATCCAGTTTGTTACATGTTATGTGGCGGGAGCTCTGAGTCATTGCAGAGAAGCCCTCTGCATTTACCAAGGAGCCTTGATTATAAACTTATGTAGCTAGGGATTATTTAATTTTAAATAGTATTACTTGTAAATTATACTGACCTGAACTTTTGGGTGAGATTAGCTTTTTAAGAAATTTGGAAATTGCTTCCTATATGAACTTTGTCACACACACACAAAAAATAGTAAGTCAAACATTACTAAAAGTTACTAGACCTGTGGTATTGTGGTTAAAGGAAATGGTTATGATGGTTTCCAGAAGAGGAAGTGAGAGTAACATCAAAAGTGATTTGGGTTTTTAGGCAAAATATCTTATTTTAAGCAGTCATTAGAACATTTTTATAGTGTAAATATAATCTACTTTAATACTCCAGTTTCATAGGTAAGATTAAACTAAATTCTGAACATTTGTACTCTTAAAATTCCAGTTCTTTGTCTTTTCTCAAAGCATTATTTTTTCACTTCCTGTTTTGAGAAACTTCAGGCTTTTGTGTTATTAACTACTGAGTAAGTGGAATATGCTCATTATATTTAAGTGTCAAATGTTTTGAGTTATTGAAATATTTCAGCACTTGCCATATATTTATAGTTGAGAAATGTTTTATTTACCTTGCTAACTACCATTTCCTTCTGGGCAGTGTAATTTATTCTTGGGGTATTACTTGGCACATGAAGCCAGTGGTTAGTGTTAAAATGAAATATAAATAAATAAATAAATAAATATAATGGAGACAGAGGAAAAGACATGTGTTACCCTAATTTTAATAATAATAGTTTTTGGGTTGTTCCCCTTGTGTGGTTTTGCATATCAGTGCCTCAGATAGTTTTTGAATCTTTCAGCCTATAGAATTGTCTGTAAGACTGTTACATCTTCCCAGCTGGCCAGGGATTAAAACATTTGTTCAAATATCTTGCCAAAGAAGTAAGATCTGTTCACCATGTGTTTATAAAGTTCATGCTGTCTGCATTTTTATGGTAATATAAACCACATAATCTTTTCAATTTCAACCTCTAACAGTCCTCAAAAAAGCCTTCCATCTCATAATACATGTCTGCCAACTAATTATCACATTTTTATTAATACATGTGTGCATTAGATTGTCAACCAGATTTGATTTTCTGATCTATTTCAGTTGGAAGTACAGATCAAATATCCCTTATCAGAAATGTTTTTGACCAGATGTATGTCGTATTTTTTTCTGATTTTGCAATATTCGTGCATACAAAATGAGATATCTTTGGGACGAGACCCAAGTCTAAATCTGAATGTCTCATATAGATCTTCTACACACAGCCTGAAAGTAATTTTACGCAGTATTTTTAATAAACCTGCATTTCGACTGAGACTCATCGCTTGAGGTCAGGTGTGGATTTATCTACTTCTTGTGGCATGTAAGTGGCTCAAAAAGTTTCAGAGTTTGGAACAGTTCAGCTTTTGAATTTTCAGATTAGGAATTCCCAACCTGTATGCAGTGGAAATGATGCTAGTAAGCATATACAAAAATACTTTAGTGAGCTAAATAAAATAAATTAATATAATAATATGCTTTAATGTTTAGTAGTGAAGTTTAATTAACATGATTACTGAAAAAAAATTAATTCATTAGCCAAAAACATTTGAAGCTTGCCAGATGTGGTGGCATGAGCCTGTAATCCCAATAAACCCAGCTATGTGGGAGGCAGGACAATCATGGTCTGAAGCTGGCTGGGGTACAGAGCAATAATCTATCAATCATATTTTTTTTTTTCTAAAACAGGGCTGGAGGTATGGATCAACTGGTAGAGCATCTGCCTAGCAAGTACAGGGCCTTGAGTTCAAACCCAGTACCACTCCCCCACTCCTAAAAGACCACCTCCAAAACAAAAAATATTTGACACTGGGTATGGTGGTGCACATGTGTAATCTCAGCACACCTTGGAGGTGGAGGCAGAAGGATCTTGAGTTCCTGGACTACATAGTGAGATCCTGTCTTAAAAATTGAGATCTGAATATTTACAAGTTAAGGAATTTTAGGGAACTTGTAATTTAAGCTGTAAGAACACATAAAAGGAAGATTTACGTAAAAGTGATGAGGTAGTTTACATTTAATTTTATTCTTTAATTCCATAATAATTTAATTTTTATTAAAAATGCCTTCCCTTTCCAAACCTAATAATATTGCTTACTTTACATGGTGAGTTTTTAAAACATTTTTTTAGGTTACTTTTCTGTCTGTTACTATAACATGGCAGGTAGTGCTGGGCCAAGAGTTAGGAGACCTGCGTTCTGTCACTGAGTTCTTTAACTTTGGGCAGGTGACTTGACTTCCCTGAATTGACCTTTTTCGCATCTGAAAATGGGAAGATTAACTGCAAAAGGAACATTAAAATGTCTTCCAGCTCTATGCTATCCTTTCCAGTTCATTGTGAAGAAGTATGGGTCATTTTAAACAGTAAATGAGCTAAGTTTAAGTTTCCCTTACATAAGGATGGTAATGCCTGCTTTGCCTACTTCACAGGATTGTTTGTGAAGGTAAGGGATGGTAATATGTGAAAAAGATTAAGGTTTCAATGAATGTTAGGGAGTATTTATTTTGAGTCTGAACAATTTATTTGGGCCATTTTTTGCCATTTAACAAAACTATCAAATTCCCAAAGAAAACTTTTTTTTTTTTAAAACTCAGGGCCTACACCTTTTTTTGTGAGGGTTTTTTTTTTTTTTTTTTTGGATGGGGTCTTTCGAACTATTTGCCCTGCTTGTTTGGTCCTCCTGATCTCTGCCTCCTAAGTAGCTGAGTTTAAAACATACTTCGTTTTTTTTTTTTTTTGTCATTTACCGCCAGTATGAGATTGAGCTCTGTAACAGTGCTTCCATTTTTTTTTTTTCCTCTTGTTAATTATTGCCTCAGCTCTAAAGGACAGAAAGGAGAAAAAGTCCTCTCAATTGCAAACATGCTTCTTTAGTGGAGTATTTTTGGGGTTTCAAACACTTTCACCTTTTTAAAAATTTGATTAGAAACTGATGCTGGCACAAGGGAGGGGTGAGGATAGGTAAGACACCTAAAAAACTAGCTAGCATTTGTTGCCCTTAACGCAGAAAAACTAAAGCAGATACCTTAAAGCAACTGAGGCCAATAGGAAAAGGGAAACAGACTAGAGAAAAGGTGAGATCAAAAAGAATTAACCTAGAAGGTAACACCCATGCACAGGAAATCAATGTGAGTCAATGCCCTGTATAGCTATCCTTATCTGAACCAGCAAAAACCCTTGTTCCTTCCTATTATTGCTTATACTCTCTCTACAACAAAATTAGAAATAAGGGCAAAATAGTTTCTGCTGGGTATTGAGGGGGGAGAGGGAGGGGGCGGACGTGGTGGTAAGGAGGGGCGTGGGGGGCAGGGAGAAATATGAACCAAGCCTTGTATGCACATATGAATAATAAAAGAAAAATGAAAAAAAAAAAAAAAAGAAACTGGTGCTGGTGGCTCATGCCTCCAATCCTAGCTACTTGGGAGGTTGAGATTGGGAAATTGTGGTTCAAAGTCAGCTCGGCAAATAGTTCATGAGACTGTCTCCATATAACCACAGCAAAATGGACTGGAGGTGTGGCTAAAGCAGTAGAGCATCTGTTTTGCAAGTGCAATGCCCTAAGTTCAAACCCCAGTCCCACCAAAATGTGTGTG